CCCCCGCCTGCATTCTGCACCGCCCCGTAACCCTCGCTGCCCATAGCAAATCTGCTGCTGAGAATATATTTATACAATTATTTTCATTTGCGATTTCATTCATTTTTACATAGTTGTTGGATTGTTGGAATAAGTGACATTTAAATCATTAGTTAATTATTTGTGAGACTAACTTGTGGTGCTGCAGCGAGGTGGTGGGGCTGCAGAAGTCTCGTGTGATGATGTTGGAGGCGAGGTCGCCCAGTTTGATGCTGGTGGTGTGCGCCGCGCTGATCTCTTCCCGCTCCCGTTCTCTTTCTCTCTCCCTCTCTCGTTCTCTTTCCCGGTCGGGCAGGCGGTCCAGGTTGCGGTCGGGCTGGCCGGGTGCGCCGGGCGGGGGTACGCTGCATGTCACGCTCACCGCCTCGTTGTCCCTTAACTTCTGGAACCGAGCCGGTCTGGCCTTAGTGCTCTGTATACTCTTACTCAACTTAATAATAAGTTTATTATAGAATCATTGAACATCCGTTTAACAGAATTGTGTTTCCATGGTTGTGACATAGTAGATATATAAAATTACAAGTTTACAAGAGATATACTCACGGGAAAGCGTTGATCACTGTTCTGATTGATCTGATGGGTGATGATGGCATTGATGAGCGAGGCTGCGGTTAGTTTGCCATCGACAGGCAGGTTGCGTGCGTCCGCCGGTCCCGCTCCCGGCGCAGCCACGCCCGCCGCCACGGCCGCGCCCGCCCCCGCAACACCCACCCCCGCGCCCGCCCCTCCTGCTGAGCTCACCACGCTCGTAGAACAGCTCACTGATGTTCTTCTAAAAAAAATATTATATGTTATAGTATTGCTACAGGTAGTGTGAATAGTATGATAATTTTATCTGTGTTTATACTGACGCGTCCTTCCTATCGAGCATGTGGGCGGCGAGTGCGCGATGTTTGGGCGCACTGTACACCGCCGCCGAGCCCGCGCCTGCACGTCTTTCCTCTGCCCCCGCACCCGCACCTGCGCTGCCGGACTGCAAACAAACATACTTCGGTCAACTTTACTCTTACGTTTATATCTGTGCTGGTAGTTTTAACTCGTGCAGTATGTGGTGCAGCCTACCTGTGGGTGCATATGATGCCTGTCGTGCAGCAGCTGCGCCTGTTGCTGCGCATGCTGCGCGCTCTGCGCATGTTGGGAGTGCTGCGAGTGCGGGGTCTGCGGATGCTGTTGATGTTGGGAGTGTTGCGAGTGTTGTGGATGCTGCGGGTGCTGCTCGATGACGTAATGTCGCTCCGGTATTGTCACCATGCCACCTCTGTAACAAATATGTAATGTAAGTTGTTAGCTATTCTAGATACTTCTAAGTTAGTTTGTTGGGTTGTAAGTTAGTTACGTACCGATCTCTGTTCTGAGTGTTGCGGTCGCGTGCGGTGTCGTACTGCGCCTGCAGAGGACGCCGCTCGCGCTCCGGCGGGTACTGCAGCGGCTGGTGGTACTTCTGCGGCAGCGGGAACTCGCGCTGGGATCTGCAGCACGAATACATATCGCTTAAATAACCAGCAATTGCTATAGTTTACATCTAAGCCAGTCGAATATCCGACTCGAAGGATTTTACTAATACTTGGTTTTACATTCATTTTAAATACTATGTTTTTTTTTATTTTTTAGTGTTATAGCAAAATGTCTTTTAGTGAACAGATATTGTACCTAATATCATGATGTTGTGAATGCTGCTGATGTAACGTATGCTGCTGGTGCTGCGAGTGCTGTTGATGTTGCTGGTGTTGCTGATGCTGTTGGTGTTGCTGGTGTTGTTGGTGTTGTTGGTGTTGTTGATGCTGCTGGTGCAGCTTTGGCTCAGGCTTGGGGTCAGGCTGCGAGCCCCGCGGCACGGGCAGTGCTGGTGCCGCAGACGCTGCGTTCACTAGTGATGTAAACGCCTCGTGACCTGAAATAGGAGAAAATCAGTATAAACTCTTTTCTTTTTAATGAAAATTTATGTTAGGAAAGTTGAAAAGTTGTATATTTACCTGGTGGCGGGTGAGGGTAGCCGTGCTGGTGCGTGTGGGGGTGTGGATGAGGATGGGGGTGTTGGTGGGGGTGGGGGTGTGCGTGCGTATGCCGCGTGATGACGGACACGGCGTCGTGGTCCCGGCGAGCGGGCTCCGCGCCCCGCCTGGCCGCGCCGTGCATCTGCTGCGAGGTGATGAAGTCCGTCAGCATTATCTGCCGCCGCTCCAGGTGGTAGCCGGTGCCGCTGGAGGGCGCGTTTGAGCCGCTCGTTGACTGCAAACAAATTATTCCTTTTGATTTCTAGAAAATTTACAAGTACCGTATACTTATGAATAAAACAGTATCCGACGTACCGTGGTAAACTGTGAGGGTGACTGTGGGCGTTGCTGCGTGTAGTATGCGCCGGGGCTGCGCCGCTTGAAGTATGTGTCGAAGGGTCGCTTGTCGGGGGCGTGGTGGGGGCCGAGGACGGGCGTGCCCGCAGTGATGGAGCCCGGCTTGGGCTCGAAGCGCTCCGCGAGCGGCGTGCCGGCCGTGATGGAGCCTTTCGGGTTGCCCTTGGTGGGCGTGCGGGCCGGGAGCGCCGCCCGCGCCGCGCCCTGACCCTTCGCGTACAGCGTGGGCGACTCTCTCTCCGCCGCTCTGTACGTGTACTCGCTCGGGGTCCGACAAGTCTGCTGACAAACACATGTTAAGTCAGATATGAAGCACTCATTTACTATCAAGTTTTATTGTTTATGTTTATTAGTATAAGTAGGTACCGGTTTGTTGGGATGCGTGAAGGAGTCTATCCTGGGTCGCTTGACGCTGAGGTCCAGCAGGGGCTCGTGTCTCTGGTCGTGTCGTTGGTCGTGCCGCTGGTCGTGTCGCGGGTCGAGGTCGCGCCTCTCGAGGCGGTCCTCTGGCGGTGCCAGCGGCATCGGCAGCGGCGTGATGGTGGCGGGGCGGTGCGGGGAGCGCGGCGAGCGGGGGGAGCGGGGCGCCTGCGACACGTGCGACAGCCCGTGTGCGTGCGCGTGCGCACCGTGACCACCCACCACTGTCAACGTCGCCAGGGACTCGTGCGGCGGAGGCTGTAAATGTTAGGTTTATATAGCTCTCAATGTATAAATCAAAAGATGTTATCATTTCCGGAAACATTGCCTCGAATCATTAGTATATATTAGTTACCTTGGTAGTGTGGGTGGTGTGTGGGGGAGCGTGCGACGTCTGCGGTGGAAGGTGGGGCGGGCGCACGTTTTTCAGCAGGCTGACCTCTATCATGTTGAGCACCACGTCGCGCACAGTCATCGGCGCCGAGGCAGAGGACGCCACCGCCTGCACAACACATTCACTCTTGTATACTATACTCTATTTGTAATAATTGGTTAGAATTTGTATATTATAGAACATGCAGCAGCAGTTACGATGAAGCTACGTGTATAACCTTGGCGGCAGGAGCGTCGTTCTCCTCGTCGGCTGTCTCAGTGGCGGAGGAGTCGTACTCGTCGCGGCGATGTCTGCGCGGTGCCACTGCATCAGTGCGCGGTCCT